AATTTCGACGTTTCGAGAGAAAGCCCTTCGTTCAAATACAATATCTGTCAATGAGATTCTTTTGTTAAAGTTCCACCAAGTTGGCCGCCATGAGATTGACATCATGTACCCGTTCTTGGACAGTTTAAATGTATTTTTGCTTACCTTTACTTATTATACAACTATTGTCGGAGAAACATAAAGCGCAAGTTTCCAAAAATTAAACTCGAGCGGGTTTTACTTGCACCTACGCGACTCCTTGTTTTGTTTTAGAAATAAGGAAGATTCGTGCCAAATGATAGGCAACATGAACTCAAAAATATTTTGCTTTGTACTTCCGAATCGTTTGACGCTATACATGCATGTGGAAACGCTTTTGTATGAACGCGCACGAGGGGACGCGCATTTTTAAGCACTGAAAAAAATTCCATTTTCAAAGTTTTCCCAAACACAGTAAATACAAACGTACTTCTTATGTGGTAAAGTAGCCGTATTATAATCTTCCATGTAATCCTCGAACATTTTTCTTGTTTCAAATTTTGGTAATGTCTCTGAATTGACATTTTTAACCTCTTGAAGCCAACAGTAAAATTCCTGTTGTTTGACAAATATATCGCTCTCTCGAAGTATTCCATACGCGCCATATTTGTTCTGATCGACCACTCCTTGGTGTTTTGCCTTTTTCAACTTTGATTTCTTCTGAAAAAATGAAAATAAAATAACACCAACACTATTGAGCCGCCAGAATGTGCATGGAATTTTATGCATATCAATTTCTTTAAGGTTGGCCGTTCTTATGTATACTTTATCTTTAATAACCTGCGATCAGGCGTTAGCTTTATAAGAGTAAAGTAATCGTTTAACTCACAATCTTGGATAACTTGCATGCATACTGGTATTATCAACTATTATGCCTACTTCAGATCCTAAAATCCTTTAAGTTGTAGCGACTTAAGGTGATTTCAGAAAATTTGAGGACAAATTGGTGGCAACTTACAGCAAGTCTTTAAAAGCTTTAGGCCTTTATAGAAGAAGTTTAATATCTTCTATACCTTACGTATTTTCTTCTTTTGCTTATGTTTAGATTTTGAATGTTTTTCATCATCAGATGATGAACTGCTCGCACTCCTCTTATGTCGTTTCTTCGTATGTTTAGACTTGCAATGTTTATCATCACTATCTGATGATGAACTTCCTGAACTACTCGATCTTTTTTGATGATTTTTCTTTCTTTTCTTTCTCTGTTCAGAATCACTTGAGGAAGTGGATGATGAACTGAAACATCAAAATATATCATAATAAAAGAATTAATTCCTTCTGAGCGCTGCTAATGTATATTCTCCAATACGAGTTGACGTCATCAAATATTCGTTTCGTTTATCTGCAGATCTTTATCAAAGATGGACCTCGAGATTGATGTCTCCATGCTTAAATCAATCTACATCGGAAATTTCACGTTGTTTGGAGGCCTTTGGACATTCCGGCAAAGGCGCGATTTAAAACATTTAAGGCGTTTTAAAAATGTTGTTTTTCCCATAAGGCATAATTAAATTTGACTGGAATTTGCCGCTGCAGTGAAACATAGAACGTGAAATTTTCGGCATAGACTAAGTTGAGCATGAATATTTTAATTCTCGTCTGGGGTCCATAAAGATGAAAAACTCTATAAACGCAATTATAAAACTCGGATCGTAGAACTGTAGAAGTAGTTGAACGTCACTGATCTACTCTCTGTCTCTCTCTCCACAATGGGTCAATGGTCAATGCCTTATGGCTTATACAATTATTATACAGATTACCTATCTGTATCAGATTCACTCTGTGACCTCTTTCGTGATTTCCTTTTTTCCGTTTTTCGCTTTGATTTCTGCAAAAGGCATACAATATATACAACTGGGCAGTTTCTCGTCGTTGAACCGCATCATTAAACACACATTGATGATACAAAAAATCATTATATAAAGCTATAGTTATAACCAAAAGCCAGCCAAATACCTTCCTATGCTCATCCTCTGCCGTACTTCTTGATCGTTCGCGATTTCTGTCCAAACTAACTTCATTTGTAACTTTTTCTCGCCTTTTCTCGTGATTTTTGTCCGCCATATTGGATTTCGTGTTCTTGGTGGACTGGGTTCGATAAAGTGGTTAAACAATATGGCGGAAAAGAATGTATATTTTTGTGTATAGAAATATTTTATTTTTTTAAATTTTTCATGGCAACATCTACGAAATCAACTTCTGAGAAGAAATTATGGATTGGTAACTTAGATAAAAGGCTTACTGAGTATGCGCTAGAAACGTTTATATTGAATTTAAAAGATAATATATTAATATAAATAATTTATTTTTAATAATAATAGAATATGTGGAATATTTACCCTGGCAGTCTGCCATAGTCTTAGTCCAGAAACTATAAAACGAAGGAAAATAGAGGGTTGCTTGCAGTCTACAAAATTACTGGAATACACCATTCCGGAAAGTATGTCACATTGTCACATACTTAACTTTACCTATAGTCTATAGAGCCTAGTTTTTGTGTATTTGACATCAGTTTTTTGCCCACGTCTCAATCACGAAAACGAGGCCCAATAGCCAAGGTGACATACTTTCTGGAAGCGTGTATTGTGGTGTACAATGTCCATTACCAGTCACAGAAATCAACAAGCTTAATTGGCTATTTGTCTGTAAACTCGTTCTGTACATTAATTTTCAAGCAAGTCCTCGGTAGTCTAGTGATTAAGGCACTCACCTTGTGTGCGCTAACTCGAGGGATTGAATCTTTGAAGGAAAGCTAATCAACAACCATTTATTTTTGTGGAAATGCAATGTCAAAGAATGCAATTACATGCACAGTTCAGCAGACCCATGTTTTCTGTTTCAAAATATAGTTTGGCAACTATGCTGAGCACTGTAATAAGAATTAATATTTTTGCACAAGTGAATATAACAAATCGTACAAGTTGATTGGTCAAATTTGATGTCAAATCAAAACCGAAATTTTCAAAATGGTGGCTAGCCGTTTTGTGGAAGTGACTGATAAAGGACTAAGTAAAATTGAAATAAATTCAGTCCCAAAAAACACAAAACACTTGTGTAAAAATACTATAACAATTATTCACCTCAGGCTCGGTGATTATCGGGAAATATCCACCTCGACTTTGTCTCGGTGAATATTCCCCGATAATCACCTCGCCTTCGGCAAATAATTGTTAAATATTCTTAGTAAAATTATATTTGCAATAGTGACTATGTTAGTCTTTTCCAGGTATAATTTACTCAAGATTATACAGTGTTATGGGGAGGTTGAAAACTTTGAATACTTATTTCATACCATTGGCCCAAACAAGGGTGAACCAAGAACATATTGTTTTGTTGAGTACAAAAGAAAAGAGGTTAGCAATGAGTTTTATTTACACACTTCAGGCTCTGACCAAATAGATATTAAAAACATTGAAAAATAGTGATGCACATTCTGGTGTTAGGCAAGTAAGCTATTTTACAATGATGAAGAAATTTTAGAGAGGATTTCTTGGAAGATATCCTGTAAACCTTTAACTATAAAACGTAAAGGCGTATTTGCCAATGAATGTACCAAGTACTTTGTGAAATGCACACATTTTCACACCAAGAAATTCAAAAGACTTGGACATGATAATCAGCTGCCTTAGAAAGCTTCAGCTTGAGAGCCTGTTCGCAGGCTATTTTTTAAGTGGTTATCCAAGTTTACAGATGGCCCTCCAATCGCATGATTGGCTAAACCATGACACACTATCACTTATGTACAGTTTGTCCAGTCTTTATTTCGTAAAAGAAGAACTTGAATTTATATTTAATCACAGGATGCAGAGTGTGCATTGAGAAAATTAAATGGAAAAGTAGTCTTATCTCGAGCGTTGCGTGTACGTTGGGCAGAAGATAATGTGAAAAATGACAAACTTGCAAATGTGTGTAAGAAAAAAGTTGAGAGTGCCCAAAAGAAAACAGTTGATGTGTTGAGGTATTGCAGCTTTTTGTTTGAATTTAACTTGGGGGTTTTTTCAGAACCTTTTGCGGCTATTAAATGCTCCAAAACTAATTCTTCCAAGTTGAGTTTTCACCATGAATGATTTCATCAACAGTTTCAGTGCAGTAAAATGAAACAATCAGAGTAGAACGACTTGAAAATAATTCAATTTTCCAATTGAGAACCCAGGAAAGTAAAAAACACGCTGCACAAACAAGCATCTTCGCTGTGCTTCTGTACTCTTGGTTTTAAAGTGTTTACTCGTCCTTTACAGCCACGAGGATAAAATCAAGGCCATTGAAGAAAAACTAAAATTAATGGAACAATCTGGTGAGGACAAGATGACACCTGTCGTGTTTCATGGTAAACACCCGTTATTAGCACAAAGTGAACGACAGAAAGAAGTACCAAGGAAAGCTAGACAGAAGCAAAGACGACCTTATCCTGCTTCCAAAATGGAAGCTGACCTCAATAGATGAAATTTGGAGAGAGAAACTGCATGTGTGTGCAAAGTTTGCCTTGAGGTGACTCAGATGCTCAAAATCCATAGGCTCAACACTCACTAGGGAATTCGAACTTCAATTTTCATACGCAATATGGCACGATTTTATGTGTTGAAAGATTCTAGGTTACCTCTTTGTGATCAGCTTGCTATGAAACTGATTGAGCTGTATGCAGGCCCGTAGCAAAGAGGCTAAAGCAGGGTGTGTACTATCACATTTCACCCCCCCCC